GCCTTCAAATTTTTGAACGCAATGCGGACATCCGTCGAGGTTGTATAGTCGTATCAAGGCGCCGTAGCAAACGCGTCCCATTGTTTATCGTTACAGACGAATATAAGTTGAGAGAGGTCATAATGCCTTCAATTTTATACATACATATTTTTGGGCAAAATAAGAGACGACGTTTCTCCATTTGCGACGTTGCAGACTTCCTTAGAAATTTTATTTTTCTTTCGAGAAGCTGGTCAACATACAACTGAAATTCTCCATGATTTTTCGTATTCGATAGCAGAAAATTTGGTTCATTTGCGATTGGTAAATTGATGATAAAAAAAGGGAAAATATAACGTGCGTGTTGTAAATGTTAAGGTGGTTTCATGTAAAAAATGATATTAAAGCACTTTAATTATTTCTTTTGTATTTAGTGCTTTTACTTTTCTGCAACGTGGTGTACGCGCAGTCGATCGCGCAAAGTTGGACGTTTTTTATTCTAACAGGCGGATGTACAAATAAGTTAAAACCAAAGTTTGCGTGCTCCTTGGTTTTGGTTCATTGAGATTAATAAAAAAGACACACACATAACATTAAAGGACATAAAAACCACAATTTGAACTAAGCGTTTGGACTCTCTTTTTTGAAATAGAACTTACAGACGGAAAAAAAAAAAAAAAAAAAAAAAAAAAAAAAAAAAAAANAAAAAAAAAAAAAAAAAAAAAAAAAAAAAAAAAAATTTAGAACGTGAAATAATGTTCTTCGAGCATTTTTCAAAATTATGGCTCAATTGAAGACTCCAAAATTATGAACATTTGTGGTAACATCGTTGTACACAGCCACTCAGACACGATACCGAAGAGCGCCTTCAAACCACTGTGTAATCTTAATGCGAAATTCTGATACAACTATTCGTGCGTCACGACAGTAATTTTACATACCCGGCTAATTGAAGGAAAATCATTGGCCCAGGCAGCAAGGTACGTTTTTCAGCATTGCGATACGTGGTTTTTAGGGAGCAAACCAACCGCGGGTGGCCCACCTGACATTCAAACAGCCAAGCCTCCTGGGCTGCCCCATATGGCATCCATAGAGCCGAATCCCAGGAGCTCCCCTTCTGGCAACCAAGAAGCCCAACACTTAAGGGCTGCCCTCCCTAGGACTCAAAGAGCCGACACACCCCCTTCGGCCTTGCCTCCACGGGCCGTTTCACGAGATTTGTCCCAGGGAAAAATCCCACTTACGAAGTTGGGAAAAATATTGAGTTAATCAATATTTTTCCCAGTGCCAAGTATGGTCCTTTTACCCTTAGCACCCACTGAGAGAAGAAGAAGTGTAAACGAATTATGCGATATTTTGTTGATTACTCCATTGTTCATGTTTGTTTAATTAAAATAATGTGTCTAATTGTCAATTGAGTGCAATTATCATTTTCATCCCCATTAAATACTCGACTTTAACTAAGTTATCTTCCCGCGCAAACTAGTCGCAGGACCGTATGAGCCTTGTTCCGTGAAGACGGTAACTGGGAAAAATCCCAGAAGTTGCCTGCCACCCAAGAAGCCCAACCCCCTGGGGGCTGCCCCCTCCCCCCCGGCATCCAAAAAGCTCAACCCCCAGGGGCTGCCCCACCGGACATCCAAGGAGCCTAACCCCCAGCACCTGCCCCCATAGCATCCATGGAGCCCAACCCCCAGTGGCTGTTCTGTTGACTCTAATATAATTGACCATTGTGATGAACTAACGTTCATGATTACAGTGGCTCAGTAAGTGAATAATCGTCATGAACGCCACTAGTAATAGGTACCTATGAAGAAATGACACGGTAGGGCTCTCGAGTGATAAGCATGCAGAAACTTTTCAAAATCAGCGAATTCCCGAGAATATATAAAAGCACAAGACAACTGATCAGCTTGCGTATGCTTTAGGCGGGAAACACTAAGGAAAGTGCGTTGCGCGTAAAGTGCACTGGATCAAATCGTTACCTTCCAGGCAAAGTATCACAAGCGCCATGCGACGTTTAAAAATTTCCGCCGCCATTTTATTTATTTACTGAGAAATTGTTGGTTGAATCTGTTTGGAAATTTCACTAAATTTTATCGGCAGCACAAAGAAAATTCAGTGAAATTTTCGGACAGCTTCGTTGAACAATTTCTCTGTAAAAAAATAAAATGGCGGCGGAAATTTTTATACGTCGCATGGCGCTTGTGATACTTTGCCTGGAAGGTGACGAAATGAATAGGCCACATCGATATACCCATTTCTGCCCTTAGGCCCGAGATACACGAAAATAGTTCCACGGTTTAAGGGGACTTCCTGATTTTTTCGATTATAGTCTCTAGCTGGTAGATAGGCGACACCTTCAACAACACATTTATGCAGCTACATAACTCAAAACTGTCAAAAATCGAGGTACGCACTTCTGCACTTTGACTATCAATATGAGAATACATTCTAAATTTTTACGCAATTCTGCACTTTGACTATCGATATGAGAATACATTCTAAATTTTTAAATAGAAATGAGAGAATATATATGTCACTTACAAATTCACGGAGTGAAAGCTGAGAGAAGTTATCTGCGGACCACAAAGTTAGGAAGACTTCCACATGCCATCGCCATCACCTTGGAGCCATTCCACTTGGGTTCTCCCACGAGGAAAACCAGATTCTTGACAAAAGAGTTGATGCACCGAATTGTAAATCTGTAGATGAGGTCGTAAAGAGAGCTTTCAATTTTCACATAAAACAATGAAACCTGATGATGGTCTCAGCCTGGACTCAACACAACAGTTTCGCGGTTCGCCAAAAGATTGAGGTTATGTAGAGTAAAAAATGTAAACCAATGTAAACACATGAATCTTTCCGACTGGCGACTTGGACGGTCAACCGTTGAAATTCGGCGATTTACCCCGAATCTCCACCGCGGCGGTGCATGTTCGGGGATCGAGCACCTCAACGTTTTCATGTAAACAACTAAGATGGCGGCGCATATTGCGCGGGTGTTTTGAATTTATGGATCGCGGGCAAGATCCACACTTTAAGCGGACTTGAAGCAACCACGTACTTAATTAAAATTTACATTTAAATATTTTTATCAAGTTAATATTAATTCCTGATAGTCGAATGAAGGAAGTTTTCTCCCGTTAAGACAAAAGCTGCAATGTCGCCGTTTATCAATGCATTCTAGGAGAGAAAAAGTAGCAGCCAGAAGAATGAGTCTTGAGCGACCATCCTCAGCATTCATTCCTTCTTTTCAGAGATTTTTTGTCATCACTTATCAGGGATGTAAAATGAAATCTAACATGATATGAAAGTACCTACACAGATTTCTTAGGAGGAGTGTACACCACCCATAAAATTATCTTATAATAAAATTAAGAGTTTGACTCTTATTTTGTTAAATATTGAGATTTTCTGATTCTACGCATTTCACGGCCTACTGAGCCTATTGCAGAAGTCATACTTTCATGAAATTTTACCTTATATGAAATTGCATGCAATTTTGCATCTCTGCTCATTATGGAACCCATTCAGCAGGCTATCAAGACTGAGGCTGCTTTAAAAATGTAAATGGTGCTAGCAAGAAAGGGGTTGGGCCTCTAGGAGGAACATATTTTTTCAAATTAAAATTTATCATGCGGGTGAAAATTCTCACACATCAGGCAAATAGGGATTGTCCCCTCCCCCTTATTCAGAGAGAGTACTAACATTTTTCTGGGACAATTTTGGTCAATTTCACTGTGAAGTGTGTCAGCAGCGCCCAACTCCCTCCCCGCAGACACAAGACCTCTCCAGTTAGATTTCCCGGGTCCAGCTGAAATGGCACAGCTACATTTAATCATTAATCTAATCTTTCAAATCTACATTAAGTCGTACGTTTATGGTAGACTTCAGAATTCGATACTTGTCTGTTACGCATTTGCAAACATTTGTTTTTTTTTGTGACTGTCTTCAAAACACCAGCGTCATTGTCCGGTGGATTTTCCATCAGAGTCTACACACTTAGACTCATCACTGACCAATTTCTCTGGAATATCTAGCATGAATGGTTAAAATGTAGATTTCACTTTGCAGATAAAGTAGCTGAGGGCCCGAAAAAAAAATTTTCACTTATATTGACTTCTTTAAAGACCTTTCTGACCTTAAAAGAAGCATGTGGACTTTAGGTCTGGCTGTGTTATGAGAGGCTGCACAACAGAATCAAATTATTCTCTTGAGATAAATTCCTCACCTCTGAACTAGAAAAGCCATTGATTCAGCTTTGTTCTGACCCCAACACAAATAAAACAATCAGCCCAACAGGCAGCAAGCGTCAAGAGATATTTATGCATTTATCCTCTCAGTTATTTGCACTTGGTCTGGAAAATACTGAAATAATGGTTTATACTGCTGAGAGCAATGGAATTTGTTGGATGTTCAACGTCTTTCGCAAATATTGACACATTACGGCAAGAGGCTGGTGTTACCTTTGATGCATCAACGAAGAGGTATCACAAACAACTTCGAAGTTAAAAGTTACAAAATCAAGCAGCGCTACTACATTTAAATTTGAGAATACTAGATATTCATACCAATTAGGTAATCAGAGACGTTTGGAGACTTTTATACGTAAATTCCGGTGGAAAACCCACTCCATGAAGTCGTTGGTACAATGTACAAGTGGAGCGAAACAGTTGCAAAAAGTAAACAAATACTTACGTTCGCGTAACGGTGAGCTTAGCTTATTGAGGCTGGAACGACTGAAACGATTAAATTAATTTTGAATTATTATACTATAATCGATCAGCACACGATGCTTGGGCCGCTTGGGCATGCGATCGGTAGGCTTAGGCTTGGTGGTTTCGTAAACAAATATGGCGGCGGTCCGTCACAACGTTGAGAGTGCCGAACCCCCGAAAACGCACCGCCGCGGTGGAGATTCGGGGTAAATCGCCGAATTCCAACGGTTGACCGTCCATGGTCCAAGTCGCCAGTCGGCAAAACCCGTAAAGACATCATTCCCTTCGAAAGAGGTTATGTTCACGTAAACAATCCTAATTTTATTGATAAGAAGAAAATCCGGCTCCTTTAAATCAGTTTCTAGTTGCACTACAATGGGAAATTGGTGTGCTTTTGACAGTTCTGTGCTTCAGAGAATTTGCATCAGAAGTCCAATCACATAATATCAATAGTCTGTTTCATTTTAAAGGGCTGTTTTGTGTTATCCGTCTTCTATCAACAGCGATGAGTGTAGAGGTCCATCCACTTACAAGCAACCCTACAGCTGCCTGGAAGGACATTAGCAGGACTCAAAAAGTCATCAAGTTAAATGTCTCGGTACCGAAAGCACCAGTAGCTCAAGACAAGGTAAGTAATTGTAATTATCATTTAATCTGAACCTTATCAGAAGGACAGCTGGAACAACGAGAGGAGGTAAATTTCGAGCCACAGGACAGATGAGTTGGTCTTGGACGTAAGGAATAGCTATTTAATGGTAAATCTAAACAAGTATACATTGATGTCTAAATCCTTACCTCAATTGGAACGCTTTAAAATCTGATTATGTTTATTTTCCTCAAGGAAAACTAATCGAAATATGTCCTCTCGCTTTTTCATATAATTGTTTTATATCAAGTGAGGAGGATGCGCAGAAAATTTGAGTGAACCTCTAAGTTTTCCTCAGTTTCCCTCCTCAAGCATGAGCGGAAACTTACAGCATTGCAGTATGAGGCACGCATTTTCAGGCAGGTATTAATTCGATAGAAAGCTGAAAATTCACCTACAGATAGAAGAAAGCTCACTGCCAAAAGCCTCTTGCTCGCAGCAATCTTGTTCATGATGCCAACCTCAAACTTTTTTTCTTCTTTTTTAAATAAGTTCATACACTTCTAGACTGCCACAGAAGATAATCTGCCGTCACTTTAAAATGTCAAGTAAGTGGAAGAACGTGAATAGCGGATCTTCTGTAGCAGTCTACAAGTGTATAAACTTATTTGACGTGGACTCTACAAATTACCAGGTATATTTGAATGATTGAACTAGGGTATCTTGTAGGATCTCAAGAATAGCCTCTAGCTAAAATACAGCGTGCCAGAACTTGTGTAAAATAAGCTGTCACATCTCTACTTTTAACCGTCATGCAGTTGATGCAGGCCCAGCTTAGCCACTATAAAATGGCAGTGGCACAGCTGCCTGTGAACAGAAAGTAAACAAGTGTCAAATTTTCTGTCATGATCTCCACAGCTTCTTAAACCAAATTATCGGCTCCACTTTTATGTACTATCCACCACTTGAGCCAATGATGGAGAACAGAATATTCTTCTCCGTTTGGGTTAGTCTTGCTGAGACTCAGTATCCTTTGATAAGATACCTTCAAGGATACCTCAGCTTTAACGATGATTTCAAGGAACAATACTGATATGACAAATGGAAAAATGCTTCAAGCACGGTGTATACAAACCAGATGAAGATCAATGAACTTTGCCCCATAACTGCTTAGCTGAAAATTAATCAGTCAGCATCAAGTAAAGTGAATGTGCAAGACTGTGTAAAGCAAACATTACCGCTGAAAAATGGTGATATACCAGAAGTGAATTTGGCTTCACCTCTTTTCATTGCTCGGCTGGATATTGCAAGGTCTGAAGGAGAATTTGTCTATCGTAAATCTGTTCTTTGAGATTTTTGAATTCAGTAAATTCTTGCCTCCTCTCTTAAACTGATTGATTTTAAAATACTTCCTCAGGTACGCTTTGTTTGTATGAGTGACACACACTCATTGACTTCACACTTGAAATTTGACATTCCGGATGGAGATGTGTTTATTCATGCTGGAGATTTCACTCGATGTGGTGGCATTGATGAGGTCATCGAATTCAACAATTGGATCAGTAAGTTTCCCAGAATTTTACACTTGAGTGCTAAGGTTTTGGATTCTAAAATTAATCAAACGCAGTACTTTCGGGAAATAATGAGTGTTTCCGGTTCTCACCGGAAGTAACCAGGAATGCTGAAAATTTCCAGCAATTATTCATTTCATATGCAGCAATCACACGCTGAATTTGGCTGCTGAATATGGACAGTCAGCGTTCAACAGCTGAAATTCGAGTTGTTTTCATCCAGACGTGTATCAAATCTATTCAGAACCAATCAATGAGATATATCGCATGCCGTTTTGACAAAAAATATGGCGTTCATCAAATCACCTTGAATGAAAAAATTCACAGGTTTTGACATTATTCATTTATTATTTCCATTGTCGCTAGTAGCTATAACCCACAACTTGGAAGAAAAATGGAGAAATACCTTCAGACAAGCTCGTTTCCACACCACCTTCGGAGAGCCCGATCAGGTACTGCTCCCGGAGGTAGAGCTTTCGGCGCGTTTTTTTTAACGTGGTATCACCAAGAGCCCTAATCTTAATGAAACTTTAAGGAAAAATTTGAATTTTTCAACATTAAAAATTCATTGAAAATGTACTTTTTACTGAAGTACACACGGCAAATTGCAATTTTTCCGCGCCTTCTAATAAGAGGGTATGCAATTTCACGGCACATTACTAAATTGCAAATTTCAGACGATTAAATTACAACATATTGCAATCCATGCTACTTGGGAATTGTTTAGTGTATTTCTCTTGTATCTTGTCAAGTCAGCTGTTTGTGCCAGCAGCCTAATTCATACCACAAATGAAAGTATAGTATGAAACCTGATTCAATTTTTTTTCTTTCAGAGCATCTACCTCACAAACACAAACTAGTCATCGCTGGAAACCATGAGTTGAGTTTCGACAGCACCTTCACTCATCCATTGAAGAAGACCGCCATGGAAAGTAGTATTCATGAAATCCCTACACTTGGGTTGGCCCGAGATAGTATGGTCGAAGCTGTAAAAAAATTAGACACGCTAAGTCGTCTAACAAATTGCACCTACCTACAGGATTCTTCAGTGGATCTCTATGGGCTTAAAATTTACGGAACTCCATGGTATGAGGCACACATTATACTTTTAAAGTATTTAAATTTGTGTAATTATTTCAAACGAGATTGCATGAGGAAAATCAAAAATGGTCCTAACGATGTTACCAGCTGCCGCTGAATAAAATGCCTACTGAAATTATGCCCACTGTCAAATATGTCTTACGCTATTAAAGTGTCTACGGTTTGTTTGCCCAAGTAGAAAATGTCAAAATATTTATGTTGGCCACTTGAAATATATAAAATATATTTGTAAAATAAAAAATAAAGAAAATATTTATAAAATATACTTGTTGATATTTATAGGATCAATTATTCGCGAAATGTGACTCACAATTTTTATGCATCAGCTTCTGCAGCATCCATAGCCTCGTCCTGTCTTTGGGGATACACTTTCAAATGAGATTCTTATTAGACGAAATAAATACGTACTTTGACATTTTTGGAGTAGGCAATCAAACCAAAGACATTTTAATACCGCAGACATATTTTACCATAGACATTATTTTAGTAGGCATTTTCATGTGCATATTTTGACTGTAGACCAAAAAAGGTAGCCCTTTTTCTTGTAGACCTACTGTCCGTAAACCAGCAGAATAGCCTATCCATACAGAGTTTGCACAGTCAGGGAAACTGGGGCACGTCTAGGGCTTTCAAAAAGTCATGAAAAACCTGGACTTGTCAGGGAAAATGACGAGCAAGTCGGGGGAAAATTGTTTAGTCACCTTTATTTGCTTTCTAGAATGGGTTTGATGTTTCGTACAAAAAATTTTGCCAGAGAACTTTTTCAAATTATGTCCTTTTAACCACCTGGCGTACCCTCAATTGTCAGGGAATTTTACCAAAATGTATCAGGTAAGTGTGAGGGAAATTCATTTTCTAAATTCTGTGGCTACTCTGTTTTCATAATAAAGCAGTCACATTCATGAGAGGATCAAATTTTAACAGCGTTACTCGTGAATTACCGAAAAACAATAATATTAATTCAAGTCCTTGATTTTAAAAGCAGGAATTATTCTCAATGCCCAAATTGAAGGGTGGAATCAACCACCATCACGCCTTTGGGTTTCACACCTTTTTCACTTAAATTTTTCTTGAGCCCATGTTGAGTGAGCAAGTACTGGCTGTGCACTATCTACTAATTGGTAAAATTCTAGTATCTTCATCTCACTTTGGTAACACAATCAATCATTTTTTTAAAGTGTATTATTACAGTTTATTCTGGACGTAAAAATCGGGAAACTTTCCATGCCCGTTTATCACTTAACAAACTTCCTATAGCATTTTACAATATTCTAAATTATGACTTATGCTAATTATAGGCAACCAGAATTCTGCAAGTGGGCTTTCAATGTCCCGAGAGGTCAGGAGTGTCTGGACAAGTGGGAGTTAATCCCTGATGACGTCGACATTCTAATCACTCACACACCACCCCTAGGCCATGGAGATTTATGCTGCACTGGTGTTAGAGCAGGATGTGTTGAATTGCTCTCTTCCGTTCAGAAACGTATTCATCCCAAGTATCATATTTTTGGCCATATTCATGAAGGTATGACTTTTTTGTCCTCTATGGACTTCTATCTTGCCTCAAACACAGACATATTTTTGAAACATTCTGGAAAAACATTCTGAACTTCTCAGGCGATGTTCAGAAGTTTGTAACAAAACTTCAACATATTTGACCATTCACTGGAAAAAGGACCTCTCTCTACAGAGATACTATCAGTGGAGCAATTGATGTCGAAGTAAGAGGAAAAATCAGATTCTAAGATTTTGACAGAATACCCTAAAGAATAAAGTTGCGAGCCATTTGCTTTGTTAATTTTTGTGCCAATAGATAGCATAAGTTTGCATTATAATCTAGCTATAATAATAACCTGAGGCCCAGGGTTTTTAAGAATGGGCCGGTTGCAAACTTTTGCTAGAGCGAAAATAAGAGTTGTTTCTTATGGAATTGTCTCAAAAATCATAATGAGCACATCAGCAAATTCTGAAATGCACTTATAACTTAACAATCTGCGCAAGAAATTTGAGTTTTTTTTATTTTTCTACTTCCAAAAAAATACTACGGTATAGATTAACATTTTGTTAGAGGAGTCGTTCCATTCAACCCTTTCCCAATAGCAACATCCAACTTAGCCAATGCTTTCGCATGCAAATTGCAATCGGGAGAACAAGGTCAACCAAAGCAGACCTTTATCAATGCAAAGAAATCGTGAATGTAAACACGCTAGGATAAAATCTTGTCCAAGCGTATGCGTTTTGGCAGATTGGCATCGGCCATGTTGAATATTGAGAAGCATCCTATTGAGCAGGGGGCGGATGGAACGACTCCTCTAACAAAATGATCACCTGTGCCATAATATCGTTTTTAAAGCGGGAAGCTAAAAAAAACGCAAATTGCTTACACAGGTTGTGAAGTTTGGAGTGCATTTCAGAGTTTGCCGATGCGCTCATCATGATTTTTGAGATATTTTCTAGAAGAAATAACTCTTACTTTCGCAACAGCAAAACTTTGCAGCAGGCCCATTGGAGTAACAGTGACTGTCTGTTGCCCTTCTGGTAGTTATTATTCTATTATTAACTATCTATTGTCTTTGGAAGCACTGGGAAAGATGAAAAACTGAAAGCAAATTGACCACTCCCAATTCCCATGATTTAGATCTGATGAGAACCGATGAAAAAGAGAAATTTCTTCGCCTTGTGAGATTCTGTCATGACCAGGTGCTAGTGTATCAAAAATTGCCAATAACGATGGACACCCTCCAGGCACTGACAAAGAATCGCCTCTCAAAAAGAAAGACCCATCCAAAAGCAAATTTTTTATATCTAGTTTGTATAATGCTAGAGTCGCCATTCTGGAATTTTTACTTTACTTATGATTTTAGTGATGCCATTAATGTGATTTATTGATTTAATTTTCAGGCTATGGAGTTTCCTCTGATGGAAAAATCATCTTCATAAACGCCTCAACTTGTGATATTAATTACCTTCCGACCAATCCACCCGTTGTATTTGATGTACCTTTGCGTGCAGGATTTGTCAAGGAATAAAATGATAAAATCTGCTATTCACTCAACAGGATTTTATTGCTCCCTTGCATAAGTAGCTTCTGTACTCACTATTTCGTCTAAGTAGCCATGCTAAGGTGCCCTATCATTGTGCATTCGTTTTTCCTGATTTTTCTTTCTATAGGGTTTTTATTTTTAGAAATTTTCCCGTTAGTCTCCAACTTTATCTGTGATATTTAACTGTGACATGTGATTATTCTGACTAAATCTTCATATGACTGCCGTTTTTATTGTGCAATTGGCTCACCCTAGATTCCAGCTGAAGTTTTTCTTTTTTTTTCTTTTATACTTTTATAGAATTTTTCAGCACTTGCCGTGCTACCCTTCATTCTTTCCTATGACGCTTTTACAGCAAAAAAATATATGAAGTTAGAACAGATTTAATTATATAGAAACTTTTGNGGGGTGCCACAAGTCACATTGTGATTAAAAAAATATTAAATTTTTTATCAAAGTTAATTGAGGCACTGGATGCGAAAAGGGCACTTCTCGGTTTCAGTGTTTCAGAGTCTCCTCTAATATTTTATTCGTTGTAAGGAAAGTGAATGCATCCATTTCACTAAGAATTTTACTGAATATTTCTTCTGAGTTTACAATTTGAAGAGAATCCTGGAAAAATCACCCATTAAATTATTCTCCATGGTATTACCTAATTAGCAACAGAGATTCTGAAACACTGCAATCGAGAAGTGCCCTTTTCGCATCCAGTGCCTCAATTATGATTTTTAGTTTGATGAAGCCTCGCTCAAACCTGGTCTTCCTCTAACCGGAGGTGGAATTTTATTAATAGCATTGAATCAGGGTGTTAAGATCATCCCTTTTTTTTCAATTGCAAAATTCATTGGTTTCAAACCCCACTCAAGGCAAGGTTCTGAAATTCTCCTAAGATATGTATATCTTAAAAGATAACATTTTTGAAACTTTCAGAGGAGGAAGAACAATGAAATATCTTGAAAATATATTTTAAGTTCAATGTACTCAGAGTCTAGTAGATTCCTTGCCTGATAATAAAAGAATACATGAGCTAACAGCATGCTGTCAAACAGTCCAATGGAGGTAAAATTTTTCAGATTTCAACTGTTGTCATGAATTTTTCCTGACTCAAAGCCAATTTTTTATACCTTTATTGAATTTGGCTTGAGGCGAAAATCTCACCTTTTTTTATGCCGTGTTAAAACAATGTTCCAGAAGAGAGATACAGTTTATGTGACTGAAGTATTATGTTAATGCATCAAAATACTCTTATTGTATCGAGTGTTGCAAGCTGTTTTCTAAAACCTCATCAATCCAGAGGAATTTGTATTTTTGTAAATAACTTTCGTTGTACACTTAAATTTAAAGTTAAACTTAGATTTAGTGTGTATTTTACTTTCTCACTTCCTTTTTTTGTTCTTTTGCTCGCAGTCATGTCATCAATCATCAAGTTAAAATGAAGATTAAAGTCCATAATCTTGAAATTTTGGTTTATGCCTTACCACCCTTTTCAATGGTAATTTTAATAAATCACTCCTCTACTGAATCTTTTGGAGAAATTACTGAAGTTAAATCACTCATTAACAGAAAATCACATAATTATGTCCTGAGCATCATCATATACCACGCCCAATCTATTTTCCTTTTTTCAAAAAAAAATAATTAAAAAAAATAAACGAAATGAACAGATAAATTAATCTGGCTGTACCGCTTTCTTGAACGTGTTCTAGAATCAATGATGGAACAATTATATGGTGGTGTCATTTGAGAGAGAGTCTATTCTGCTAGCTCGGAAATTTTTCAAAATGAAAATCGAGAAAAAACCATTTTTAATTTTTAAATTTCCTCACTTGGAGCTCAAAATTGCTAGATCACTCTGCTTCTTCGCGCTCTATAGTGACCCTTAAACGAACTAGCTCCTTAAAATTTATTTTTTTGGGATACTGAGAGAGGGTGTGTTGAGAGTCTTTTTGTTCATACCTTTTTCAAATTCCAATTCCTCGCCTCAAAAACATCACCCTTCTAAAAAAAAAGTACCCTAAGTCTTTCGCTTCACAGACGCAACTAGGTATTTGATAAAACTTTGTCCGCAAACCCTAAGGTATCGGTATCTCAAACGGATGGAGTCTAGGTAAGTGAAATGCACCTAGTCGCATTTTGGAATAAAGTGAGTTGTTTAGTTTAGGCAATAGTTTTCAAATCAACTAAGTATAGTCGAAAATTGTCTTCGAAGATGAGAAAAAATAATTTAATAATACTTAATAGGTACCTATTCACTTTTTCTTTTTTTTTCTTTGTTTTCTTCCTCAAAAAAATATTTTGTTTGTGAAGAATAATCGTTCAAATTTTGTCCGTGCCTCTGAAGTCCGTTAGGAATAAAATTAAACCCTCTTTTTCTCTGTATAAACTTAATGCGATTGGGTAGTTTTCATCTCCCCTCCCCCTCCCTCCTTCATTTGGTCTGTCATCTCGGAGACCTTCAGAACCATGTCTGATTGTGTTAGTTGTTTTACGAATGCATGAAATTTTTTTCTTGCGCAAAAATAACTCGAAAAATTAGGTGGATTTTTTGTTTCTTGGTCTCGAATATTAAAAATTTTCTGTGGTCACAGAACTGTTTTAGCTCCCCTCACCTGAAACCGCTGTGCGCGGGTAATGATTCAAATTAGCTTGCGTATGACGTCTACATGACGTCACAGATGATTCATCGCGAAAATATCAATTTTTATCAGCTCTTTGCCTTATCAATCCAGCAAACCCTCTTCAGGAAGCTAAAATCGTTATTATCCTCTCAAATATGCGAATAAAATTTTTTACAATAAAATCCATGCTTTTCCTGAATTTGTGTCGCCAATTTGTTAATCTCTTTTTTGGAAATGATCTTTTCCTAAGAAAACCGGCAACGTTGAATTAATATTGGCTGGCAGCTGCTCATCACAACAATGGTCAGTTATCTCGTAAACATGTCATTAATTTCGTGAATTTAGTTTCAAAGGCTACATCAATCAGTTGTTTTATCAGTACTATGGGATTTAATTTCTTCAAAAATGGATGCTGATTATCAACGAAACTTTCGGGCGGTCAATAATATTCCAGGTGAGTGCAGATTCGCTTTTATCAAGCTAAAGTGAAAGTCTCTTGAGGTATAAACGCCTCGCATTTTTACTAAGACCATGTATGGGTAATTCACTTTCATTTCATTCATTTTTATGTCTATTACAAGCTCCCAGGTCCTCAATTCACTATTTTCCTCAATAATTCAAGATTCTCCATGTTTGCTGCCTATCTATACCTGCTTTATGATCAACCTCATCAGAATCACTCAAGCGAATTACTTTGTTAGTTTTGGAGATTGTCTCTCCATATGTACTCGAAAGAGTATTTCGGAGTCTTGTCACTGGCTTACACCATATTTTGTGAAATATTTTCTTCACAACTGGCCTCGGCGTTTGGTCAGAATATATTCTCTTTCATGGTTGACTGTTGACGCATATTCCTTTGAGCTGACGGGACATGACTTTTCCGATGAGTTGGAGGGATCACAAATGTATCTCAAGCACCTGTTCTTCGTTGATTTTAGGTGCTGATCAAGAAGAACCTTATCCTAGTCTTTCTGATTTCCACGACTATGAGCCGAATCTGGAGTTTGATGACACTGAGCTAACCGCATCTGTGGCAAATGGTAAGTCTCTTCTGTCTTTCAGGTAGTCAGCATTTTAAGTTCAACAATCTAGATTATAACATCAGGCGAATACAACCTGATGTATACTTACCGGGCTCCTTGTTTCAGGATTATGTTAAAGTATACCAAGAGTTCATGTGATCCAGTGAGAGGAATTTAAAAAAGTGTTTTTTTCTCTCAAGGAAGTGTATTTACACGGAGGGCGGACGTTTTTATTAAAGTACCAGGCAAGATGGATGAAATAAAAATCAAATTAACAAGGTTGAATGGTATTCTACCTATTGGAAAAATGTATCTTACAGTGAAAGTGAGGGCAACACAGGAAAATGGGCGATCATGGATGCAACCTGCCCCCTGAATTTTTACAGGGGAGAGGGTGAAATTCCCAGCTTTATTAATAGCTTCCCTGAAATATTTCTTTTTAAACCAGGAGTGAAATTCCTCGATGGCTGTATATTGTTTACCAATAATTCTTCAATTCTACAGCATAGGATGTTTTATGTTAGGTAGTTACTTGGATGAAAGTATGCTGCTGAAAAATTTTAATCCACATTTGAATCGGTCAGGTAGAAAAGGGCTCAAGCGTCAGATATAAAAATACGAAAAAACACTAGAAAATATATGAACTAACCCGTTTTAAGTTGCACATGAATTGAATCGGGACATGCGAAAACCGCCAATGTCCATTTTTCCAGTCTTCAGTTTTTTTGAGTTGATAATACTTTTCGGAGTTGGATGCAACCATGAAAGTGGTGTTAATAATTGTCTCCCAGCTGCCCTAATCCCAAAACGAGTCCTTTCATCACTTTTACGGATGTATCAACCCTTTAAAACTATTATCAATGCAAAAGAATTGAAGACTAGAAAAATTGACGTTAGCGGTTTTTGCACGTCCTAATTCAATTAATAATGTGATTAATTCATCGCTTTAATATTTTAGAGCTCTGAATTTTATTAGGGGTCAGTTAAAATGGTTATTACCAATTTTCTCGAATTCTAATTTTTGGCGCTTGAGGCCTTTTGTAACTGACCGATCCAGTTATACTTGCTGCCCGTAACCTGACTGTTTACCCTTAAAAAACTCAGTATCACACTTTTACTTGATTCTCACAAGGACCTGGTATGTAACGGAAGTTATTTCTGAGGCTGCTAGCTGCTTTATTGTATGGTTTTAAGTCATGGCACTATTCGCACTCACTTGTCTTCATCTTCTTTTGGTCATAATTTTATATTCATTTTTTTTTTGCTCCAGATTTAGAAGAGAAAATCTCTATTAGTGGATTAGAATACCTCGAGTCTCCGGTCTCTGATGGAACAATTGAAGAAAATTTTGAGGAGGAGCTTGTCAATGCGCCTTCAGGTTATGACAGCATAGCTTGTTCAAACTTCCTTGATGATGAAGACGAAGATGACTTTAGCGATGTCTCTCGGTATGGAATTGTAGATGTAGTTGGAGATGACACAGTTGGAAGGCGTATCATCGTCGTCTCTGCTTGTAAACTCCCTAACAATAAAGAATTGGACCATGGGCGGTTGCTCAGGTTAGTGTTGTCACGTTCCAAAAATTTCAGGACGACAAGGTTTGCATGAATTTTTGATGAGGAAACCTATCTTGTGGTGCCAATTATTCCTACCTTGTCTTCCCTAAAAGCAAGTCAATTCTTTTTGGCGATGAAGACAGACAATGAGGTGTTGGGTGCAGAAAGTGCATCTCTTGGTTACGGTATTTTAGAATCTTTAGTGCCAATTTATCCTTTAAAGAGATAACTATGGGGTGAATACTCTGAAATTTTAAGTTTTTAACATTGTAAAATCATTAAGAATATTCTGTAAAAGTCACAATAAATTACATACATTTGCTTTAATCATAAGTGATGAGACATTAGTGGAGATTTTGAGACACTGCAACCAAGAAATGCCCTTTTTGCACTCAGGGCTTCATTTACCTACCAATGATTCACCGAAGAGTTGATTTTTAATCCTTTTAATACAGCTTGTACGTACTTAAAAAACTGAGAAGATTGACAGGTACCTCAGTAATTTGATGGATGTATCTATAAACTAGGAGTGATGTCAGGTGTGGAGAAGAAATATATTTTGCAGAATCCCGGTGAAATACCTCTATTTACAACTACGCCTTATTCACCCCCTAAACAAAGAGCCTCAAAAGACGTCATAGGTGAGCCAGGATTACAGAAATGATCAATGAAAGGTCCGATAAAGCATTAATATCTCCACTTTCTCAATTAAATTTTTTAAAATGTGAACTGAAGATGAGCTCATGGTCTCCTTGCATGTATGAAGTAACACTAGGTACCATTTACATCAAGTGAAGAAGCGGCTCTTTTCTCAAGGCATGAAAATTAATATGTTTTTGTTTTCTAGGTATCTGATGTACACATTAGACAAATACGTCGAGCAAGATTATAGTTTAGTTTATTTCCATTACGGATTAACGAGTAAGAATAAGCCACCTCTATCATGGCTCTGGCAAGCCTACAGAGCTTTTGATCGAAAGTACAAAAAGAATTTGAAAGCACTGTATCTGGTGCATCCCACCAACTTTATAAAAATTGTATGGCAACTATTCAAAGCGGCTGTCAGGTAAGCTAATTTTCTAATTTTTTATAAAATTTGTCCTCTTGTCCATTTAAGTCTCATGAAGATGAGAAATGTATCAAGTCTTTATTGAGTTATAGTCTATGCTATTTGTCAGTGCCCTTGGGAAAAGGAACCTTAGCCCTGGTAATGTTGTGCCCTGAACATGGCGCAATAGAATTTTGAATAACTGTAAGTTTAAAACAACGTTTGTTGTATGCAAACTTCAAACCACCATAACTCCAGTTTGGTCTCACATTTTTTTGGAGCTCTTTTGTTTTGAGATATTTGCTGAGCATTCCCCCATGCTCTGTATCAAAAACTCAGTTCTAGACTCAAAATCTGACTTAGTTCTCTATATGTCTTCAGAGGAAAAAGGTATAAATTCTCCCCTGAGGGTCAAATGCATTCATGCTAGAATTTTATTGAAATTACTCGGAGCTTTTCAGAAACTCTCAAACAATTCCTCTCCTGTGATTTCACTGCCTTTCGATCACCTCACCTTAAAAGCACCTTTATAGGGAGAGTACCAAATGTTAAATTCTTTAAGAGTCTTAGAAAGTGATTAGGCTGCTTTGTATTCAATATTTGTTTCGAGTTCGTGATGTTTAATTTATCTTTTGTTCTGTTTTTTCCAGCACAAAGTTTAGCCGGAAAATTTTGTATGTCAATAATCTAACCGAATTACAACAGCATCTTGATTTGGATCAATTAAGCATACCACAAACTGTTCTAGAGTAAGTTTTAACCCTTTGTTTACATTTTAAGAAATAAACTACCATGAAGATTTATTTTCTTTTTTGTTGTTGAATAATGCTCTTTTTTCAGTTTCAAACAGACATTGGACCAATTAGAGTATATGATGACGTTTTTTAACAACAAAAAGCCCACATCTCTTGAACAGTTTTCAAAATCAAGTTGATCGCATGGTCTATAATTTATATCCTATAATTTACCCTTTTTTTTAACCCAAAAAAATTTTTTTTTCTCACCAAGTAAATGATTAATTTTGTTTTCTCTCTCTCGCTTTGAAATCGTTAACAGTTGTCTCATAGTCAAGAGTTGATTTTTATTATTTTCGTCATGTTTGTCTTATTTAATTTGATTTAAATGAAAAATGCAATGTTTTGCCTTGCATTACACCATATATAGTGACCTGTTTCTTTTTACTAATGTCTCACTCATAAACTATGAACTGTATAATAAAGAAGTATAAATTTTTGCAGATATGATGAAAAACTCATGGCAAAATTGAATCGACCTAGCGCAGGCTCACAGGGTGAAAAGTCTCAGGTTGAAGATGCAAGTCCACCTCCTCTGCCTACTCAACAGTTCGGAGTTTCTCTGCAGTTTATAAAAGATAATAATAACGGTGAAGTAATTCCACCACTAGTCAGGCAATGCGTGGAATTTCTGAGTCAGCCAGATGGTAAGGCTTTTTCCAATTTTAGTTGTGAATATGGAACATGATTTAAGTGACACACACAGGTTGTCTACCAGAATGGAATTTTTGGAAAGTCCGGAAATAGTTCTAATTTTTTAAGGGCGGTCCGGAACTACTGAAAAAGTGCGGAAATTTCGCAGAAAGGTCCAGAATTTTTTCTTTCATACTGCATGTGTTTTTTAAGAGGACCTGAGAAGTATTAATTCCCTGTAAGTTGATTCTTAGAGAAGTGTTTGCCTGCAAGATCACAATTGAGGAGGGTTCCGGAAAAAGGGCCCATACCGAAAAATCGCGTCGTGAGAAAAACGTCATTGAAGTTTTCATTACTGTGTTTTGACCGCGAAGAAACTTCAAAATTCAAAATGAATGTTTCATACAAGGATTCATATATCCTAGAATGAAATCAGAGATTGGCAAAAGTTGCAAATCATAATTGGACTGCGAGAGGAATTTTTAAAAAAATTCGATTATGGGCCCTTTTTCCGGAGATCCACTGATGGTAATCGGTTCTTGTGACTAAACTAGTTAAAAGCACAATTGAAACAAAAAGAAAAAGTATTATCTCTTCTAAATAACATAAAATAAATAGCTGACATCTTTGGTGGTCTGAAAACTGAAGCACTTTCCACCACAACATTCTGTCATTGACTTGAAAATTTTCCCCGAGACGGTTTTACCGGATAAAGTTTGGTAACGTGACCATACAGTCTTTTTAATTTGGCAGATGCCTTTACTCTGTTTGTTTTTTACCTGTTACCTGTTACCTGTGTTTACCTGTTTATTTTTTTACTTTTATGACGCTTCAATCTGTCATTATTTACAATGTTACTACCACTCTCGGACATTGCGAAAATATCATCAACGAATAGAGACGAACAACACGAACTAACTTCGCGAAAAAGGAAGAGAAATCCTCTGACACACACTAATATTATTAATATTATTCTGCGTGTTATTATTTGTGGGTGCCACTGTTGACATCTTGATTAACTCGGAAATCTGCATTTACTGATTGCAGCTAGTGATCAGTGCATTCGATGTATGTACAAAGAGGGGCTGTTATCAGTCGGATCGCTATCTGCTGGCCGAGGCGCTCGGGTCTCGCGTCATATTCTAGATGATACCCCGTTCATAGAGGTATTTAGTGGAAATCCCACGCCCGGAAAAGTGGTCGTGTGGCTTTAAAAATTGGCGAATCGATACGAAACTTTAGGCACATATAGTTTAGGGCACGGGCAATCCATTAATGCGTTCTCCGGAAAAAGGGCCCATACGCCCATGGGCCTTTTTTCCAGAACCCTCCTCAATTGTGAAATCAGTTAATCTTCAAGCCACCAATGAAATATTGTGTCTTCGTCATTTCTGTCGCAATTTAAGCTAGAATTCCTAATTTTCGAAATTGCTTTGATTTCGTTAAATGATGATACTGAAAAAGTATTAAAGTTTTCTGTTGAGAAGGTACTGAATTTATCAGGAATGTACCGAAAAAGTACTGATTTTTGGCCAGCCTATTTTAGAAGACACCCTGCAGGTGTGCACAATCATATTTTCCCTGAATTATCCTGTATTTTGGAGAATACCTCAATTTTCCGGTAAAGTCTCAAGTGATTTGGGAAAATGGATGGCATTTTTAAATTCAGGGCCAAAAGCCCAATAGAGACTGCCTCACCTGATCCTTGCTCGATTTTGACTGTCGACGTATGTTATTGGCTTTGCTTCATTTGTCACACTCTCATGAATTGCAACTCCAGTCATCTTTCGATCGCAAATTTTTAAAATGGCCATCTATTTATTAATTGTTATTATACTAGATAAAAAATTTCCCTTTTTCAATCGTCTGCAGAAGCCTTTTATTTGCCTCCAGCTTTTTCCGTTTTTCCAACCATCCCAAAAAATTCTCAATTTTGGGCTAGTTTTTCTCCTGGATCGCATTATTTCTTCCGACAGTAAGAATTTAAACTTTCTGCCACTATAAGAATTAAATCTGGTAAATAATATATTTCGTATTTTTCCCTCTAGCGCTGGAGACAGAGGGTCTGTTCCGTCGTTCAGCGAATTTTGCAATCGTGAAGGAGTTGCAGCAAAGATGTAATCAGGGTTTACCAGTCGATTTTGAAGGCGATGTTCACACTGCTGCAGTGCTTTTGAAAACATTCCTGCGAGAGCTTGAAGAACCTCTAATGACCTTCGATTTATATGATGAGATAACGCAGTTTCAAAGTGAGTAACTTCTTCCTATCATAACGTAACTCTACTTCTTGTGCTGATTGAAGTGGAATTTTCTCTCATTTTAAATGAATTAAAGGGTATTTCTGTCAGAGACTATGCCAATTTTCTACTCAGCCCTACAAGAATTGATCCCTGGAAAAACTCGCGTGGCCACCAACTGAGGCCTGTGTTTTGGATAATCACATTTATTTTATCTAATCTGTGTGTTGTTTGTGACCGTAGGTGGACTTATGCATTTATGCTAAAGAAGTATGCACTAGGAACTAGCAGCCGATGATAATTCGTGCAAATGCTTCAAATAAAAATTTCCATTCTGTCTTTATTTTAAGCAAATTATTTTCAATTTCAAACAAACGTTAATTTACCTCTAGCTGTATATTCTTGGACAAAAATTTTGCTATTTATTGGGAAAAAAAAATTAAAAAGTTGAAAGGTATGGTTGAAAGGTTCTGTACCCTCATCCTGCACATTGAAAGTTCTCATATTATTACTTGGTAACTATTTCAACGAAGAAAGCTTTTTACCAAAAATATTAGTAGGTGTCTTCTACGGAAAACTCAGTTTTGCTACTTTTGACTCTTATTCGGTGAAACGAGTCTCTTATGAACCCTCAATTAGAAAGATTACACCCACTTTCAGTAATCTGAGCTTACGATAGTTTATAGATACGACAATAATTCAGGCAAAATTTGTTTTTCTTCCTCTTTTCATTTCATCAGAACTTGATAATATTTGTATTTGTATCTTTTATAGGTTTGAATAAAGATGAGAGGCCAAGACATGTGAAGATCTTGATTTTAGAAAAATTACCGGAAGACAATTATCAAGTCCTCAAATATCTAGTTCAGTTTTTAGCAAAGGTAAGAGAATGACTTTATTTTTTCCTGCATGATGAAATAATTTCATGCAAGATCATTACTACAAAGTCTCTTTTCATTCTGAACCCCCTATTTCAATGAGATATTGACCAATTTTCACTTTGTTCAAATGCAGTGAGAGTCAGTACTTTTACGATTGATGAAAATTTAAGAACAAAGTGACTAGATTCTGAAGAGGAATTTAGCACAAAAAAACTTCAAAGAAAAAAATCTAAGAAACAATTGAAGAATGAACAAATGAAAATAATATCCTCCGTGTTTAGATTTTTTTTCATCTTCTCAGGAGCTGCTGCATGCTGATGCGAACTTGTCCATATAGCTACGCAAGATCCTCTTGAGCATCGATAATTCTAAAAACTTTGTTCACTCAATTCATGAATGGACGTATTTATGCGTAATGAAACTATGTGGAAGTGGAAAGATTGGATGTGCTTGTCAGTGCTCGGCCCATAAGAATGGATGGGATTTTAAAAGCGCTAGTGACATTAGTGGCAAGGACCGGGCGTGACTCGAGCAACAGCGACTAGGTCGTCAGTCTTTAACTCATGAGTCCTGTCCTCAACGCTCTTTTCACATGTCTATGACTCTTGAGTTAGCGATCAGTTCCTTTTGATTTAATGTCAAATCCCGCTTTTCCATTTTCTCCAAAGGAACTATATCCACCTTTTCATTGTTTCTTATGCAGCTTCCACAAGCACACCCCATCTTTCCATTTCCACTTAGTTCCTTTTAGCTTAAATACTTTCAAATTCATTTCTAATTATTTTTCATTATTTACTTTATTGGAGTACGTTACTCTCTGAATTAAAATTTCAGAAATGAGGCCATCTCAACAAGAAGGTACTCTATGTGCTTCTTAGACATTCATTTTAAAAACTCAGCCAGTACTTGTTCTAAGTAACATCATGATGACCGCTGCTTCTGTCATTTTCAAAAATTTAAATGAAATCTCCGCTCTCTCCTCTCCGGAAGGAGCAGAAGGGGATGTCCCATGAAAGCATTATTGAAAGTTCGCAACACTGTTTTTCTTCCATTTAAATGTATGTAAAACTGTCGATCACCTAAAATAGATTTTTTTTAATGGATTTAAATGGAGGAAAACAGCTTTCAAGATTAGCCACTGCATGAAAAGATAGCAGTAGGACATAAAAGAAAAGATTTTATGTCGTTGGTAGCTCAAAAACCTTCGGAAAGACAAGCGTTAGTGACGTTTGGGTATCACGGACACCCGAGTGCACTGTTGGAGTGACGTTAATGTATGAAATGATATTCAATCGACTAGGAAGCTGCTATTTTCATCTTAAATTCTGAGTCTTACAGAGCATGGGCTCTCATAGGCATCTTTACTGTCAATCGTTCTGTCAAGCAGATTTAGATAACTTTTTTAGTAAGTCAAGTCTGTGGCTTTGTCGGGTCTGAATGGTTACGGAAATGGTTCTTCTCTTTTTTCATTGTTATCCCAGGGATATCGTGAAGTATGCATTGTGTACGTAACGGAAGAGTGGTAGCAGCATGATGGCAATTAATTAAAGAACTATGGCAATATTGGAATTGAAGCGTTCTTAGGAATCATAGGGTGCCGTTTCTTTTAGTGATTTTTTGGCCCGGTGTGAACACGTGCAAGAAAAAGTCAGTGAGGAACAGGTCAAAAGGATTAATATGGAATAATAAAAACTGAATTATCGATTCTAAATTATCATAATGTCTAAAACAGCTGTCTGTATCCTTGTCTCTCCTCTCCACTCTCTGCCGTATGGGCTCCTACTCTGCCATACCAAGGAAACACTGTATGAGCATTCGAGAGTTGCCAAATTTTCTCCAATAAAATGTTTATTTTTAACGAGAGTCATGGATATTTTCTCTTGAAATTTTTAGATAACTTAGATCTGATTGCGACTGTGAGTCTCTGAAAATTGGAGGAAATATGTTCATAGATTTCCGTAGAAATTAGTATCTTATCGAGGGAAAGGCATTGTCTGAAGGTTCACACAGCATTTTTCCTTGGCACTACAGTATTAGCCTGGATAACATGTGGATAGCTTATATGATTATATGTGTTGTTTTATGCTTTAATATCTTGTAATCTGGAATTATTTAATATTTTCAGGTTATGGATCGCTGTGATTTAAATAAAATGACCTCATCCAATTTAGCAGTAGTGTTCGGACCAAACCTAGTTCGATCACAGAACGAGCAGTTAAATTTATCTGCGATAGGACCTATTAACATGTTTACAGATTTTGTTCTAGTTAACCAAGACCAAATATTTATAATTTAACAACTTGAACAACATCAAAAAGTATTTAAATCTAATATCGATGTGTATTTATCACTTTATTTCGGTGTTATAAAAAAATTATCTATTATTTAACATCTAACATGAATTCCGGTGCTAAGAACTGCAGCGAATCTCGGTACTCTTTTCAAGTTACTATCATATCGCCTTTTTCAGTTGTAAAAAATATAATATGTACAAAGCATCCTGTAAACAATTTTAATGGCTCTGTATAAACGATATTTTCAAGTTATTGGCCTCTGTAAATGTGTGTCTCATCGCAGATACTGAAATGTGTTTAGTTGTGTAGTTGTGACCCGTATCCAATGTCTCAGATTTTTCAAATGATATTTGGGATGATACCAAAAATAATTTTAAAATAACGGGCTCAGAATTTTATTGCTATTTCAGCGAAGCATTTTAAATCTGATTAATTCTTGAAAGCTGTAGAATTCTTGACAATCAGGAGAATTTGATGATGTATCAAAATAGTTTTTGTGTTTAATAGTCAAAGAGAGGAACTTAAAAAATCCAAATCGCTATCATGCGTTGCTAAGATTGTGTTTGGTATTCTTTTTTGTAAAATAATCTTGATGCTTGTCCTTTGTGAACTTTTGATCTTAAAATTTTTCTCAATCTCAGATCTTCGTTTTAGGACAAGTATTTTGACCTTTAGGCAACAAGATGTCTGTTAAGTGAAAGAAGCAGGTACCCAATCTGGCAACAAACTACAGCATTTAGGTTGTTTAAAGTCATACTTTTTAATGGGTCAGGTGCGCTGTCCGTAGAATCGAGTATGGATGCTTCATTCTTGCAGATTAGCCACAAACAATAAGATTTGTCCAAACAGCAACTCTCTACGTTCAATATTAAACGAGATATCGATATTGATAATTTCGGTTTGTGATGTCATCCACCGTAGTAGTGACATCCTTGGTTTCTTTCACCTTGCTTTCATTTGAGTTTCATGTTGAGTAACTAGCGCAAATTTGCGCCACTCCGACTGATGAAAGAAAAGTGAAACCAAGGGTGTCACTACCACGGTGGATGACGTCAAAAACCCGACTTTTCAAAGGGTGATATCTGGGTTAATATTGAACTTAGAAAGTTGCTGTTTGGACACATCTTATTATTTTTAGCTAATCTACATGAATAACCATCAAAACACGATTTTGTGACCAGCGCAACTGACCAGCATGTGCTAGTTATTGAATTTTAAAATATTCTGCCTAGATGGGCATTTTAAGGCTGCATGCCCACAGAATTGTAAACCGTAATGTTTTAAAGGTATTGTCACTTGAAGAGCTTGAGAGAATTTGTTTAGTGTATGACCTTGACTGAACTAATTTGATGATCAAATTGCAGTTTCCATCCAATGAAGCCTGTAAATTTCATCAAAACATCAATTATCGGTCAAATCATCAAAACACTTTTAAATATGTTCACATTGTTGTTGCTATTGATTGAGTTTCTCGATTGTTAGGTATCAGTCTATCTTATTCTGAGAGTATCTGAGAATTTCCTCCTTTCTTTTTTTGAGATTTTGCAACTCAAATTATTTTCTCAACATTTCTCTGAATGGACCACTAGACAAGATACGAATTTCAGCATTCTGATACATGGTTCCTAACCAAAATTTCACGTAGAACACGATACGCACAACGAAAATTACCAAAATTAACTCCTTACGAAGATATTTAATGATTCTTGATGCGTGAATTGAAACCACCCGCTTATGAAAACTCAATGCTCTACGTGATTCACATCGCGCGCTAAACGTTATCATAAACGTCTCAGCGATATAAAAATCTGGCAACCTCAGTCTTGAAACTTTGGCTCAGCTATAGCAAATTGCTTATAGTTTGAACAACACATGGTGGGAAATGAACATTGCTTGATTGAGAAGCTTGCTGAAACCATTGTAGGGCGCGATTTGACTCACGTAGAGCTTTGAGTTTCTTGTGAGCGGCCAGTTCAAATTCCTCGTAACTGATGTGAGATAAAAACGTTAATATCTTCGCTAAGAGTTAGTTTCAGTAACTTTTGTTGCGCGAATCGTGTTCTACGTGAAATTTTGGTTTAGAAACATGTATTAGAATGCTAAAATTCGTACCTTGTCTTGTGGTCCATTGGAAGTATACTGCACAGTCCTTGTCAAATTCTCCATTTAACTTTGTTCAGTTCTTCTTCTACTTGCACCTTCAAAGTTATTTGCTACGTAGTACGTGTTAGAATCTGAGTTTTGTGATATTAAATTTTCAGTCAATTAATTATGTACCAATACCCGAGTGTGTTGAAATCACAGTATAAAACTGTTGCTCAATATTTCATCATCTTTTTCCCTCTTTTTTCTCGTCTGTTTCTTTATTCGTTTAATTTTTTCTATCTCATTATCTCTCTTTATTTTTCATATGTTTATTAATTCAAATAGTTTATCAGAATGTACCTCAATAACTTATTTTTTCTCACTTCTGTCAATTTGTCATCTCATGTGAGAATGAACGTATCTTGTCTGCGCTATTTCAGTATTTCTACAAGCATTTTATTTTTTCATGGAAGAATTGGCGCACGAATTAGTCTAACAATTTTAGAGTCTTTCTTCACATGTGAGTAAAATAATTACTGCAAGAAATTCGTGTAACAGTTTTCATGTAAATAAATAAGATACAAGTAAGAAATACTGAAACCGCGGAATCGAGATACATTCCCTTGTGCGGAAGATAACTAATTCTTTCACCCCTATTTTATCCCAAATTTGGATATTTCATTGGTGGTGCAGTAGAAATAATTTTTTGCATTCTGATTATTTGGCCGCTGGAGGTATGTGATGAAAGTATTCTTAGGTCTGTCTAATAACTTTAAATGTAAATGATAGATGATTTAGGTATAATCGTGAGCCTAATCAATCATTTGGCATCTCCAAAATTTTTCTAATATCTACGTACATACATTCTTACTGGATTTACCTTATCTCAGAGTTACGTCCAGCTGAAGGTCTTGAAAAAATAATAATTGAAATGTATTATGCCCTGAGACATTGAATTCATTCTGAATTTGCCCTGAAATCAGTTCCTTGTAACGGAGAATTTTTTAACAATATTTTTATTTGTATGAACAATATTGAGTCTTTGAACGAGGCAAAGTAAGTTTAGGTATTGTTATACAGGCATTTATTCCATTTCCATTACTCGTCCAATCGGGGTTAATGGAAGAAACCATTTAAATGTCATGTACATTTTTGACACACCTCGTTGAGACATCGTACCGAGTCTTGTAAAAGTTGTATGAAAAAATGAAAGTTGTCTAGTAAAAATTTGATTCATCCTTCTCTCATTATACAAAAATCTTTAGATAAAATTTCCTAAAACATAGACATGACTGGTAAATTTATTTTTATGAATTTTTCCATACTGAAATTCGAATGTAACTGCTTCTCTCTCCTAAAGTTTTATGTGGATCCAAATCAAAACCAAGGCTGTATCCTTAAAGTGTGTTTCCTCTCTTTACTTTTAGTAGAGTCACTCTGTTACTCATACGTAATGCAACGAATTTGGTTGTAAAGTAATTAAATTTTGTAAAATTACATTGTATTAATTCTAGAAAGCAAAAGACCAAGCACACTTCGGAGATATGTGCGAGTTCTAATACGCGTCCATCCTTACTGTTTCTCCTTGCTCTTTCTCGATGATGATCAAAAATCAATATAGTTCAATTTTTATAATAAAGTGAAGTGTAGGACTTGCATATTTGTATGTTTGCGCAACATCAATTTGAGTTTGTCATTCCATCGGATGCAGACTGGTGTCCCACTAGCAATAGCTGTTAAAATTTGTTTTTAAAAACTGTTAAAATATAAATGAGGAAATCCTTTTAGGGATTTTTATTTGCGATAAATTTACAAGAGGCAAAATTTAAGTAAAATTTAAAGTAATGCACTTGATGAAATGTATGTCCTGCTGCCACATTTTTAAAAAAGTCATTTTTTCACTTGCACTTCACTAATAAGAAAGCAGCAAAAATTGAGGAGAAGAAATTTGACTATTTTTACTTCATGAATGCCTGTCTTATGCGAAGTTCTTAGATGAATGCAATTGTATGGAGTATGTTATGTCTTTTGAGTGCCGAATTCTTTTAAGTTTGGTTTGATTAATTATTTTATCATTGTTCTTACTTTATTTTTTTACTTTGAACATGCCTATTTTAGTAGAATGGTAGTCTTGTAAGTATGCTTTGAAAGTAGCTGGGACAAGAAAGCTTTCTCCCTTGGCGCAATCTAAAAATATCTGTGCCCTTATGAAGAAATAAGTTTTAACCCTGCAAAAGGAAAGATTTATACATTTGTGAAATTTAAAAATTGTGATGGGGAAGAAATTTTGGCTGGCAAGCCGTGAAAAAAATGTTCATTTCTCTCAGAGTATTTGATAAAAGGAACTTCCTGTAAGGCTCAAAGGAGATTTCAGTCTTGCGGTTGACTTTTCTTTATAGTGTGCTGTGATATAAAAGATATGTACGTCAATCTGAATCTTGAAAGAATATTACTTACTTCAGAAGGACCCTCACTTGTTTTTGTTCTAGTGATGGCTGGAATAATGAAATTTCATGGCTTTTTTTCCACCCTTTCAACTTTTGAGTCGTGTGCAAAAATTTAATGGAATTGGTAGAAAAACCTGATTGAAGGATGATTCTTGAAGATTGTTGCTCTCGGCACGCTGTGGCCTGATTATTGAATGTATGTCGATAAGACAAGACCAAGCCCTTTCTTGGCCGTGCAACATCGCATCTTAATGTTTTATCGTGCTGCTTTTAACTTTCAATAATCGCCCACTGCACAGAATCAGCTCCAAGTATCAATAATTAATAATCTTGATCATTTTTTCTCGTACATACTTTTCTTATTTTTTTGGACAGAACCGCCCTGAGCAATCATGATTTAAACTGAATTTTTAAAAAGATGGGTGTTCTTTTGTATCCAAAGCAAGTCTTTTTTAAGGGATTAAAAGTTATAATAAGCTAAACATAGACAACTTTAATTCTATGAGTTCTCACAGTTTTCACATTTCAACCTTGATTTCTGCCCCCCCCCCTTCCTATACCTTATGAATTTGTGACAAAACCGGAAGCAACTGGCGTCTGCTCTTCTCTTGTTTTATTTTGAGTAGCAGAATTCATTTTAAGAATTATCATTGTATCATAGTAGGATTAGGACCCACGCACAAAAATAATTCAATTTCCATGATCATATTTACAAATCAGTTTTTTCTAGAAGTGGACTTTTTTCCTTTTACAAGAAAACTGGTCTTGCTGTTGCCAAAATTAATTACTCTCTTGATTTCGTCAGACCGCATGTGGAGCAAGCCGTTCTTTTATTGACTTTCCTCCCTTGTCTGCTGAAAAATTAGTCTCAGAGAGTAATATTTTTCGATTCTGAATTTGCCAAATTTTTAAGTTTTCCTCCGCTACTTTGTAAGGTTATTTTTAAAAGAAGTAGTACTCTGGAATCTGTAACACCGACAAGTTCTAATCGCACACTTAATCATTACCAACTCATTTAATACTGTCTCATTTGTAATCATTATTTACCGGTGTACTAAATGTATATTTCAATTTAGTCCTAGATGAATGTATATTCATAGTGTAGCTGATTTTTTATTTTATTAGTATTCATCCTCAATTTATTGGAGAGACATACCTCTGTCTATAAGTTTTATTTATTAGTCATCTTTTATATAATATTATTTTTTCTTTTGAAACCCTCCTCTCTTTTTTTTTCTGTAAACTGCGACAAATATACAAAAATGGGAATTTATTGAAAAGCCTTCAGCACTAATGATTAAGATATGAAGCAGTCATCGTCTGTTTTATCTGGAAAGTGATTCATGTAATTTTTGTGACATTTCCGTGAATTCTTTATGCAAAAAGATTTCGCATAAAAATTTTAAGTAAGAGAATTGGCTCGTTCTCTTGAAAAAAAAGTAAATAAACTAGATTTGGAAATTTTGAGACTTCCTAATCAAGATTAATGGTTTTCCAAAGTCATTGATATTTATGTCAATAGTCAAGTTTCATCACATTCATAAATTCTAATCAAAGTTGTCCCATTGTTTTTTTCCCCTCATTGGCGAGTTCTCCTAAATTTCACAAGACAGTCTTACCGCTCTCTGCGCGAAGCTGTCCAACATTTATTCACTGAACTTGGTGAAAAAATAGTCATTTTTATATTTATTTCAGTCTACTTACAATTGTGAATTATTCTGGATTATTTCCGATGAATAGGGATCATTTTACTTCCTGTTTGCATTCTTTTGTAATGAACAAAAAAATTCTAGTCAGCGTCAAAATCCACATGACTTTTTTATATTGTAAAACTCGTCACTCCTCTTAATTTTTATCTTTGTCCCTGACTAGTATCGCAGAGTTTCTGGCTATGAGTGAAATCGGCAAGTAATGAAGATGTTTAACTGTCTCTTGAAATCTAACATTAATCCTAGCTCATAGAATTATCTGTGTATAATTTTCAAGAATACATTCGTGATGTACAGGTTAAGGGACCACATTATTCTTAATGCATAATGTAGAGGTTTCTCTCATCTTAACCAGGAACTTTGTATTCAATAGGTGCAGTATTTAGATTGATGTTAGCCCACGATGCAAAGTATAAAGTACGCAAGGGCTCTTTTATGGTGGAGTCACTGTATAATATCAACCCTAAAAGTTTTTTGTTTTGTGATGTCCACCTTTTGAATATTTTAATTATATTATGAGGATGTTATGAAAGGAAATGGGCCTTAGTTGCATTATAATGCGTCTAATTCACTGTTGACGAAGAGAGGATCAAATCGTATCTGAACTAAATAATCTTTGCAAGCAATTGAAAATTTTCTTTTTAGAAATCCTAATGTCTAGCTCTAAGCCGATTATTGCCTGTTTTCTGAAATTTTAATGTCTAGTACTGATGACTTCTCATTTACTTTTCCAACACACAACTATATATTGATTGAATTTGCAGCGATTCAAGACAAGACAAAGATCACCTTCACTTGCATGACAAATATGTTACTAATTGAAGTTAAGTCCTGATAAGTGGTCAACTTAAAGACAAAACTGCTCTCTTATTGGCCTCGGTTAGTGACTGTCGATTTGTGAGATATTTTTCCTCCAGCTTTTTACAAAAATCCCCTAGGAATGTAGCAGCATTTAGAAACGATTTCCTACATATCTTAATCTACAGTTGGAAAAATCCTTTCATCTCATTTTTGTATTGATTTATCGGATACTTATGCCTTCATTTAAGGCGACAATCTTGTATTAGGCCTTGTTTACTAGATGACTCCCTATTATAAACCTTTTCATAAGAGATTGCTGACATTGATTCACCCCCAGAAATTGAATTTTTCATGTTGTACATAATCTCTTGCGCAAAATTAAGATGAAGCAGAGTATAGATTGTTCCACTTGAGTGAAACTCTCTAAATTCATCATACTTCTTGTGATCTTTTCACTAGAGGAGCGAAAAAGTGATTTTGTATTTAATTATTTACGCAGTTCTAAGTGTTAATCATAGTAAGCTTTAAGTACCAGTTACTGAAATAAACCCAAAGATCCTTGTGTTACTCTGTATATTATATTATAATTAACAAATATCTTTTCCTTTCAATTTGTTACCTTTTATTTAAGTTTATTTCTGTTGACACTTTTAAGTATTTTTTATCATGTAATAAAAGATAACTTGAAATGACTCTTGACTCTGTTTTACCTTCTATTTTTTCAAATGATCGTTATTGAATTATTTTGCCTGATTAAAACGGCAAAATTCTTCTAATTTCGATAGCCGAAGTGCGAAACCCCACATCTCCGTTTGTGACATTACAGGCTTCCTGTCGTGCTTTATTTTTTTCTTTGGAAATCTGTTCAACATAATTTCTTGAAAATTTCCTTAATTTCTCGTCACTCTTAGCAGAATATTCTGTGTATTTCATGCTATAAAGTTTGCTGTTTTGCATAGAAAAAATAAAATAAGAATGGAAATTGTGAAACATGGTATTGGAGATGTGTGGTTTTGCACTTAGGTTATCAATTTTTATAAACATGAGACCCATAAGAAACTGAGAAAGTTTTAATTGGCGTTATTTCGGACAAAACAACTGTGGGAGGTATTATTCTGCCGGAGAGCTGTAGGTACTTGAGTATTGGGTAAAATTGTGCTCTCTTTTGCCAATTTCTGAACTTTCGTTAGTCCAAAATGCAACTTTGAGAACAAGCAGAAAACACCCCTTGCGGCTATCTTCCCCAACATGAAAATGAGAAAGGCCGTTTTTTATAAATACAAATAGTTGAAAATAAAATTGGTCTATTTTTAATTATCAAAACAAACTTAGAGAGTTTTTAGAGACTTCTACCCATAAAATTGTCTGCTTAGACACTTCCAAGCCCGTTTTTTCGAAACTTCATTTTTGCACTTGCAGCTCTTTTGGATGACACTGCAGAATTATTCACAGTGACTTATGTAAGGATAATGGTTATAAGAAGAAAATCAGATGAATGGTAAAATACCTCAGTCTTTAATGAATAAATTTGTTGATTTTTAACAAATGGTAACTTAATACAATTTTGATTTAGCAATTACCAGAAGGAGCAATGTATTGGTGCTTCGCTCCCAGAAAAAGTCAACTTTTTAACTTGGTGAGATACAATTAAGTACAAATTGAACTTCATGTTCAATCAAAAATATTTTGGAGAAGAGAAAAAACTGACAAATAATGAGATTAAAATAAATAAAATGTAGAATAAAATCAACAAAATTAAAAAATCAAAGAAACAAACAAAAAGAAAATTAATGCATCTTTCACACAATGAGTTGAACCTGCTGAGGCGTTCATACTAGTTGTGGAAAGAAGTGTAAAAAGACTCATCAAGTTTAAAGACCCTATTGGTAACTTTGCCGGGAAAAACAAACTGATGTGCCATTTATTGATGAAATCTGATTAAAATATCGTTTATAAAATTTCAAAGGGTTGTTTCTGTGATGAAAATGAAATATTAAAATACAGGGGAAGCATGGGGGCGCTTACAGCTAAGACATCACATTTTCCACTAGTTATAACATGGTACCACTGAACCTAAATGATATTTTGATAATTTTTCATTGATTTTCAACTTTCCAAGGACAGTTCACTTCTAAGCGCCCTGTTTACTTGTCAAGTAAATGTTAACTGGCATTTTACGCAATCTGGACTGAGCAATGATTCTAAAAAATGAGTTTCAGTTCTGTAGATCTCCAGTCTAAAAGATAAGGTCCAAAAGAAAAATTAATTCATGGAGGGGAAACATGAATTGCGCATTTTTGATCTCAATGATCGATTGAGCGTGCTATATTTTGAAGTGTCCTGATGTTAATTCAATGAAATTTTGAATACAGGTTCCATTACTTACTTAAACAAAGGTTAATAAAGCCTTGTGGCAGAGATATTTAAAGACTGATCCGCAAGTTCAAGTAATGGCCAAAGAAGGATTCAAGGAGTTTATCATTCTCTTCACTCAATAGGTACTCAAGTCGTGATTTGCGACTCAAGAATTTCCATTAAACCAGCAAAGAGATACTTCACTACATTCCCTTGGCGGAGCATTCTTTCAAAACAATGGCAGAAATGCTAATAGTTACAAATCTATTTCTGGAAGGTAAGCAAAATTTTTTTACATTTCACTTCATTCCTAAATAATTTTTGAACTTCATGTTTGAGGACCATGACCAAACAAGGGTAAAATTACCAAAAGATATTGTAGGATGTAACATAAGCAATGTGATGTCACCTCTTTCATATATCTTGATTCAATGGTTCACTCTTAGGCCCAGCTTAGATTCCTATTCAATTTTAGGCTGCATAGAAAAGATTAAACTTAAGTAACTGACATAGGTACATACAGATATAAAAATATTCCGGGTGAAGTGCTATTACTCGAAACACTACTTACAAAAGAAATACATTAAATATTAATGGTAAATGACTGAGAACCCTGGGATATTTTTCTACAATCTCCCGGACTGCTTTGACTGAAATGATACATACATTAACTAAAAATATACATGGTTCCTGATCCTTGCACGGAGTTGGCTGAAAAAGGCTGCACAAAACACTCGACTGAACTACATACGTCATGATTGCAGACCGAAGAAGGAACGGTCAATCCTGGTTAACTTTCACCTCCAACAGTTTCGGACCGACACTTTAAAAGAGAGGGAAAAAAGTCAAATCAAATCAAGAATTTTGATCACAAATGCGGAAGACATCGGTGAAAATTATTCTAATGGTTTATACCATTTTTGATACTCGCACAAGAAAAAACTCTCCTTTCTTGCAACTCAATAGTGTCTCTCTTCCTACATGAATTTAAAAATCAATGAGACTTTTTCAAGCTTACGGTAAACTTCTAAAACTAGAAAAACACAGTATTCACATAAGTGATTCGGTTTAATATCATTTGATCGTTTGAAACATTAAAAATAATGGAATGAAAAAAAATTACTTGGGGATTGTTGCATTTCTGTGTGAGCCACCTAAGGAGTGGGTCTTGGCTTACGGAGTCTTAAAAGTGGAGGGGCCCTCTATTTTGAAACAATAATTAGTTTGTATGGAAATGTTCATTTTGAAATACACTTCTGGGACATGGGGCCAGACATTCGTGACTGAAATTTTTGAAAAAATTGAGCTTTTTACAATCCTAACAACGGGAAAATCTAACAATGACGGTAAATTTTATAGCCCTACTTTGAGCCATGAACAAAGTTTGAAATTCTTAAAATTTCAAGTAACATTCAGAGAAAAGAGCTAAGATACTACACAGTTCCCCCTTTCATTGAGAAAAATTCAATTACAATTAATTATTTGCCTGTAAGATACAGTCTCACTCATTTTTCTCTCCTCCCTTTGTCTCCAAAAACATTGGAAGTATGTACATTTGTACACATGTACGAAGCATGTAACCATATTGATGTCAACCTCTCCTTTCTATGATAAAAATGATATGTATAACTTTTATAGGTTTAACATAAACCTTGAAACATTTTGAAAAGGAATTCTGTATTTGAATGATTGAAGTTTCTTGAATTGAGTTTAATTTTGCTGTAAAACCATAATTGAAAACTTCGAGGAATCAAGATGCTAGGTAACATTTTTCGATTTTGAGGAAGCTACAAAACCGCAATTGAGACGCTGGGTACAGAGAGGGTGTTTTCTGGTTACAATGTTCCAGAATCTCTGCTAATATTTCATTCATTGTAAGGAAAGGGAGAGAGTATATTTCATAGAAATTTTTACTGAAAATTTTTCATGATTCGACAATGTTCAGAGGAAAAAATTCTGGAAAAAAACACCCCTTAGGTTCTCCTTTAAGAGGTAAATTTGCGATTAAGATCCTGAAACTTGCCTTTCTCGAATCAGATTCAAAATTGCAAATAGCTCAATTTCGTCAAAAATATCCATTCCTTGCTTTTGATTGGGGCTGTAATATGTTTCATAGAACTAAATAATAGATCAGTGACCTGGAGGGTCTACGCGTTATTTCTTCACAGATACAAAGCGACTGATCAAGATGGAGGCACAAGGGTCTATTGAGGCTTTTAATGCAGGTTTTGATCCTTCCCTATCAATCAGTTTTTGTGCTTTCGTTTCCCTTGGGTCAACAAGCAGGTCAGTCATAATGATCGATTCCAATTGGCGAAAAGACACTCACTCAAGGTAGTCGTCAAAAAAAGCATAAATTGAGAGACTCCTTGCAACTAAGCTTAAAGAAATGAATTAACTTGGAACATGAACTTGATATTGGGGGGAGGTCTTTTTTTCTAAAGACTTTAGGGACTGGTCTTTATGACTGGCCCACGGTCAAGGGGATATATAGGAACAAACTGCTCACACTGATTGTTTGGGAAGAGGGCTTTTTAACAACAAAAATTCGGCTAAATTTGAATGCAGAAATATTTATCGTCGTTTTTGACAATCACAAAACAACTAAAATGATCGCTGAAAAATTATTAAGGTTTTCCTTTGGGATGTCAAAATTAATAGTTTTTATTATAGTTAGTGTTTTGCAGACTAACTGAATGATTAATCTTACATTTTTTTTATCGTTCAGTGTACTCAAATTCTAGTACAACTTTAATTGCATACAACTTAATTTCAATGGTCAAAGACAATAAACTTATATCACAGTTGGCAACATAAATTTTGAGTCTCATATTTATTGAGAGACACAAATTATCTTTTAGTCGCAAAATTCTATAGAGTTTTCACTTCCTGATTCAAAAAAGAATTCCATCTTCTGCAAAGAATAACATATCTTGATTGCATCATTTCATTATTTCTGATGGACATTTTACTTTTCTATAAGGAAACTATTTCATGAATTTGCCTGATATCTCTGGTGATTTTTCTTCACACTGGTAAAAAAAGATTCTATAATTTTCAGACAAATTCAAGCGAATGTTATCCTGTAAAAATTAAAATGTTCTTGGACATACTGTAACAGCACAGTCAAGATATGTTTCTTCAAGTGAGGGAAGACGACTTATGACACTGAGATCATGATCTTTCTATAATTAAATTTTTTACAAAAAGATCTAAGCCAAGACCCTTGTGCCGGCCCATTGACAAAGTATTTGAACGTAACTTGACCAAGTTCTAGAGTTGTCAAATCAAAGCATTTGAGGCAGAAAAAATTAATGTAAGCAGGGTGCTCAGAGGTTTAGTTCTCAAGCAGTAAAATAGAAACGCACACCCAAACACCAAGGAGTAAAGTATCATTCTGAAAAATTGCGTTCTTTGGAACTTGAAAATAAGTAAGGACTCAAATATTCATACCAATGTACATCATTGGTTAATTCCTATATAGACTGCAAACAATTATATGATTTGTTACCTGTAAGATGAACTTGAGAACTTATAAAAAGCAATTTTGACTGTGAAACTGTACAAATGCCTATCTCGGTTGCGGTGTTTCAAAATCTCTGCTCCTATTTCATTTTTCAAAAATAGGCCGAACCATCATCATGCCTTGAAATGTTCACAAAATATTTTTCATTTAAGAAAAAAATTGAGTACCTTAGTTTTCCAGAAATGATGTTCAGAAGTTCTTTTTAGTAAAAAATGAAGTGTGGCAGGAAGTCTACAACGCTGCAAACCGAGACACACATTTCTGCAGCTTCAATATTATTGTGCTGATAAAATTTCACAATCAAAGAAAAGTGTTAGATTCAAGAGGTTAAATTTTAGAAGAGGTGAAAGCAAGCATTGTTTCATGACTTATTGAGAAGAAGTATTCTAAACAAGTGTTACATTCTTTCAAGGTAAACAGTGATAAAAATTAATTTTTGATTTATAACTTCGACTGCTACATCTTGAAAATGGTTTCATTATTATTCATAATTAATGATAAAACTTTACGATACATTACAAATTTTCATTTTACATTCTTGGAATCAGTCACCTCCCAAGGATGATGGTTTTTCCTAGTCATCATTTGAACACAGTTCAGTTATCCCAAGTTGGTAACACTATTTCTCCTCCATTTAATGTAATACATATAAGCAATCAATTCTAGGGTAGGAAGCTTGCCTTGATGAATATCGATTGTTTTACAAACAAACTGATTGCAGTTCAGCACATATGTCCTGTAGTCAGAGTGTCAGTGATTTTGCCAACTTGCGTTAAATTCCAGTATAAAATTTATTTTTTCATCATAACACAAATTTCCTCTCAAGAGATCAATGCTGTTTGGTGCAACTATTCACATCTAATAAAGAGAGTGACTGCAGCTGCGTTAACGCAGACAGTTTTTACTCAAATTTTATGAGCGTTGGCAAAATCACTAACACTCGGTTTTACGTACATTTAAATGGAAAAAAGTCAGCTTTACAAACTTGGTTAGATTACCACTGCTAAAACATGGACTTCTCAACTAACCTGCAGGCCAAACTATGCAGGCCACATGCAGATCAAACACAGTAGTGCTAGGATGTGAGTGAGAGAGGCGATTGGTTAGGCACATGAGCAGTGGTTAGATAGTTGCTGTTTAAGTAAAAAGACTCACAATTGACAGGTAAAGACAGATCACATTCGATATCTTCTGTACAATCAGTTTTGAATTAACAAAGACCTCTCTTTACAAAAAGATCTTCAATAGGAAAACTGCAACAAAAATCCAAGTTGCAAAAATAACTTATTTATATTGAGGAAGTTATAAATTTTAATTGAGAATAAAAGATGGATTTATGAGAACGACCAATACCATTGTTCCCCACCGGACGCTGGCATCATAAAAGATCAGTTCATTAAAAGAAATTGAACAGTGTGTTCTCAAGAGAAAAATGCATGATAGACAAGCTGGTGGAAGACAAAACATTCACACGAAAATTCATCATGTGCAAAACAATTGGGAGATGACTGGAGCCGGAACAAGTAAATATCCAAGTATTATGAGTAAAATCCCTAAATCAAACCATCAATTTGATTCTTCTTAAATACAGTTTCAATCTTTTGCTAACAGAGGACATATTTTCAAACACAGTCTCCCTGCGATGAAAGCACTATGCAGGTTCTTAAAATGATAGGTGAATTTGAGGGGAAAGAAGATGGGGGCCATGACTAGAGGTGGCTTACTGGCAGCGTAGAGAGCTACGCAGAGACGTGAGAGAGGGGCAACAAAACATGAGGTAAGAAAAACTGAGTTTGGGACCTAAAAAGAGCACGTTCACCCCTTCTGTTCAAAATGGCTCCATCCTCGCACGCATACAACCTACAGTTAAATGTCTTTCTTGGCAAAACTAACATGTAACCGACTAAAATTTCTTGAGAGCTAAATGTATCGGGAAAACTCCTAAATTACCAAATCTACGGATTTCTGGGCTAAAAATGAAAAATTAGTATAATTTTGAGACTGCACGTATCAGAGAAAAATTACAGCTTGCTAAAAACTTGGAGAAAACTGTTGACCCTGAGCAGAACACAGACACAGCGCAAGCGGTTAGATAACTTTACAGGCTTCAACAATGAAGAAAGGAAAGACAAAGACGTAAAGAGAAGGGATTCTCAGCTTCGCAGAGAAAGTGTTTTGAGTTAAGGAAACGAGAGACTGCTGTTAGTGCAGAACCAAACCAAACACCAGAAATGATGAAAACTACTCACGTCTGTTTGGTTTGTCACTTGAGTCTTATATGAATCAAGTGAAAAAAATGAGCCATGGACTTCAAATACCACTACCCAAACTCAAAGTGCTTTTTACCTTATGTCACGAAGCTGCCGCTTATCTAAGAAATGAAAAAATACTTATTAGAACCTTCAAAATTGAATGCGATTATCAGTTTGATTGTTGCTGACCTTATTTCTTTTGACTCACGTCAAGAAAGGGCACTGATTCAGCACTATTCCTTAAGTGATAGGTCAATGGTAGGCTGCGATGACCAATGGGAAACTTTCACCTTCTGTTGTGGTTGAAAAGACTCTTTTTAAACTTTGGACGCAAAATTTGGCTACAGCCTTTCCTTACTGATTTTCCTTTCCTGACTGATATTTTAGGTGAAAGTCATAAGAGAGAGAATGGACAAAATTGGAGAATTTTGAGTAAGAGAGCCAATTGATGAAATACTGCGCAGAGAGGGATGACTATGATAGTTCAGAAAGTAATAATTAAATCAAATCTGAAAGGTCTGTTTGAGGTTGATACTAGAAGGCATATTAAAGCAATTCAAAAAGTCAGTTGTTGTAGACTAAGTTGGCGGTCCGAGTACCACAGGAACTATTGCCTTTACCAGGCATAGACTCTGATTCAGGTACCATGTAATCTAAGCCAATACATGATCATCTTCCTTATAATTTGGTTTTGTTGATTTATTATTGTGTCCCTTAGTTGTTCATTTCTCTTGTAGTTCTATCAAATGGTGATGAATATTAAGGTTTGTCATCAATTTGCAAGTCAACTGACGCTGCAGAGAGCTGACCTGCTGAGCTTGTGAATTCATGACACAAGTTATGTGAGCCATCTAATGCACGCTGGTAATATGATAATCACCTTTTTTCGCTTCCAGTAACATCTCAATCATCTTTTCTCATCAATTTAACTCAAAGTGACTTTTATTGAAGAGCTCAAGTTTTAAGACTCAAAGCTTTGGCACTGTTTGCTGAAAAGCTCCTATAAAAGATTGCGATAGCATAACCCACAAACACTAATTGTTGTCTGCGCCAACATTCAGGTCACAAAAGATGCACTTTTGGGAAACTTCATATAAAGAGAACCTTTGAATGACGTGAAACGGACAAAAAAAAAGAGGAACGAGGTGTATAAAAAAATGAGATAAATATTTCAGATCATGGTTACTAAAAAAAAGGACTACTAATCGCTCACATTCAAAATTGATGAACTCTTATCTGTTCATGTTTACATTTTACTCTAATTGCTTAAAAAAAGGGAGTGTCAAGAAGGAAGTGATGTAAAAATAAGAAATACAGCCAAATATATTAACTCACAGGGTATAAATGACTTAAATTAGTTACCGTCGGGAAAATTATCTGTATCAATCCGAATCCATTGAACATTTTTCAACAAAAACTAATATATTATATTATAGAGAGCATAAAGTTACGAGTTGACTGTGGAGGCTATGATTTCAATAAAATGCGGTACGATACATACAAGTCATCTCAAAAGAAAATTACCTGACTTTGAAACAGATCTACGAAGTTGGGGGCAAATCAATTTAGAGAGCTTCTCAGAAGATGAGGAAAAGTACTCTCCTAAATATCGCCCTTCTGGCTGAATCTGGGGGTTTTTCTATCAAAAATGAAAAACACTTAACGAACGACAGAAGAGAAAAAAAATTGACTCCCGAAAATGAGTCTTAAAAAGACAACTTTTCAGCAATATTGAATTGAAGGATGAGATCGGCACGGCAAACGCCGCTGAAAATATTTTAAAATTGAAAACTTGCGTTGGATGAGTGAATGTCATACCACGATTGAAAAACTACTGATTCTGCTGAACAGGTAAAATTTTTACCTTCTATGCAAAATAAGCTATCTCCTAATTGAAGCAAAAAGTTTATGCCACACTGGATTATCTTAAAAGCTAAACGGTTGAGGACAGTTCAGGAAATAAATTATTCCATGCTACAGTTTAATAATAATAAAAAACACCCTTATTCAACAAATTTCAAGTTGCAAAATTCGCGAATATTTTTCTGAGTAAACGGACACTCTCCACTTCTTCAATGCGCTCATAAAATTCTTCTGGCACAAAAATTTCTGAGGTCATGAGAAATTTTTGAAAAGACGAAACAAAATATGAATAAAAAAAGTGGGCATTGAGCAGAAAAATGCTGCTTTGTCATTAACTTTCCGACTGAGTGTTTCACTTGCATTTTGCTAAGCATTATTCATTATCGGATTTTTTTGTCCAACTGTCTGATGAGGCGTCAGATCCGTTGATTAGAAAAAATTAACTTTCTTGTGTTACATTTGAGATAAGCGTACCTCCTTCATTTGAATTTCAGATACCTTGAGTGACTCTTCAGAAAATTCAAATTTATAATGCATATAAAAACACATGACTTGACTGGTATTCTAAAAATTATAAAAGACTAAAACCTAGTTATTTAGGCCAATAATTGACAGTCACAACGAGAGTCAGATGAAAGGCAAGTGTTTATAGTCGAGTGATTTCAGCCGCCTGATGCATGTTCACAACATGCCTTTTGACGGACTGATGGGTCCTCTCTCTCTGTGACACACTAACATGAGCAAAATGGCGAGGATCTTCGTCTAAGACAGGCCTCGGTGATGCCGCCTCCAAGCGATCGCAACTAAGACTAGAATCAGAGGCATTCATGTAAGGATTTGAGATGAGCAGGAGTGACTCAGTCGATTTGGGCTCGTATCGTGATTTACGCTGCGAATGGGCCCTCGTACAATGCGAGGCCTCGTTCCGTAAGTCTCTTTCCAAATAACCATAACCAAAGCCATACCCACCAAACGCTTTTGTGGTGAGGTTGTCCCAGGATTTGACGGGTTTCACGGCTTCTTGACTTCGTCGGTGCGATGTCGCTTTAACCGAATGCCGATGGTGATGAGCATCGCTTGGGTGATCCCAGTACAGCGTGTCTGTGCTCAGCGATGTTGTGTAAGAAGCAGCACTCGAGTCGTAATCGAGCGTTTTGGGATCGCTCTCTGCGTGATGACTGAATTCGCTCGAGGGACAGGACTGAAGGCTGTACTGACTGACTAGATTGACGTAGCGGTGGGGGCCTGCCCCACCTGCAATGATGGTTTTTGGGTATCGGTTGGAGGCTGTGTGAACGATTGAAACCTGGACCGATCTTGAGTTCCCTTTATCAATGGGTTCTGAAACAATGAAAAATTACGATGAGATTTCCTTACATAAACAAGTGCAGAGTGCATGAGTAAATTATTATCTGAAACAAAATTTATTTTGGTCCTTACTTATTTCGTGATAAAAGCTTGGTATAGTTTCTAGGAACTTTTTGCCGTCTCAAAATTTCATTTTTTGTGTTTTATGTATTTATATTTCATTTTTTTTCATTAGTGTTACAAGTGACCTTTTGAAAGGTTGTATACATTTCAAAGTACATACAAATGTAAAAACATAGGTAGATTAGTATAGATACATGATTTAATTGAGAAATTCATCTAAAGAATTAAAGGTCCGCTTAAGAATAAATTATTTTAGAATTGAAAATAGTTAAGTGATCTCCCCATTTTCGAAGAGTTTTTTTTTTGTAAAAGCAGATAGAGTGTTGAAAAATTAATGAAGGATCATTCAACTTCCAACTTGCTTGATTTAAACCTGAAGAGGCCTTCAGATGCAAGAGAAATGTCAAATGGGGCCCAAAAATAATAATGTCCGTCATAATGGGTCTGTTATAATGGGCTTCTGCCGGGTTCTATTGGCCAGAGTCAAAAGGATGGTCAACCCCTAGCCCCTTGGGCAACTCTACCCCTGATCGGCAAGGGTACATTTCAAAAAAGCCAGCTGTTTCAAAATGACCTGTGCCTTGAGTTTCCAATTGCTCTAGAGTAGCCCTCTGAGAATACAGAACACCAACTCAGGATTGAGGCATGCGGTGGCCGGTAAGGTGCTTTTGGGTGCATTTGGGACGATTCGCACAACGAAAATTACTTAAACCAACTCCTGACAAAGATATTAACGTCTTTATTTCACATTGGTTACGAGGACTTTGAACTGCCCGCTCACAAGAAACTCAAAGCTCTACGTGAGTCAAATTGCGCACTACAACGGTTTCAACAAGCTTGTCAGTCGAGCAATGTTCATGTCCCACCATATGTTGTTCAAACTATAAGCAATTTGCTGTAGCTGAGCCAAAGCGTCAAGATTGAGGTTGCCAGATTTGTATATCGTAGAGACTGTCATGATAACGTTTAGCGCGCGATGTGAATCGCGTAGAGCATTGAGTTTTCATGAGCGGGTGGTTTGAATTCACGCATCAAGAATCATTAAATATCTTCATAAGGAGTTAATTTCGGTAATTCTCGTTGTGTGTATCGTGTTTTACGTGAAATTTTGGTTATGAAACATGTATTAGAATGCTGAAATTTGTACCTTGTCTAGTGGTCCATTATGGCCCCTATTGACCTACCTTTTCATTTACAATACTAAAAGATCACGAATGCTGTCAAAGAAGAGGTGAAACTTAAGAAGAAAATTTCTTTGCTTTTGGGGTAGAAAAAACGTTGAGTTATGTTTCTTCAAGGGGACCAATAAAAATAGAGAGAGAGTTCTGCCCAGCGTTACATGACTAATTTAGAAAATCTGCATTTTAGATGCTTTAAGCAGAGAAAGAGGGTCATATACCAATAAAAGCGCATCATGCATTTATTAAACACCCTCTCAATAATAAACAAACAAAATTCTTGGGTTGAACTTGATAGCATGTCTACTAAAAATAAAAATCAAGCAAATTCAGAATCATTAAGCAGTTATGAAGTCGAATATTGAATGAGGATGTAAGAACCAGCGAAATAAAAAGCTTCTGAAAAACATACAAAGGTAAAAAAGAGTGTGAAGAAAGCTGCTTGCAAAAAATATCGAATAAAAAATTCCGAAAGAAGCCTGGAAAAAGTTAAAATTGGAAACATGAAAGGCTGTGAGTACAAGTATGATAAGACATCAAATGTTTGATAAAAGCTGAAATAGCTGATTGCAATTTAAGAAAAAAAAACGAAAAAATGCACAAGCAAAAAAAAAAAAATGTGACACACGTAAAACAAAAAAGCGAACACGGGAAAAACGAGAACAAATAAAGAGGGGAGCTCCATAGAACTATCAAATTTTCACTCTGACTACTTTGATGACTGCAATGCAGGAACAATTGTGATACTCGATTGAAACATCCTAAGAAGCTTCACACAATGTAGTTTAACTTCAAAATCAGACACTTGACATATTTCGACCCATCATCCACATGACTGATCGAAACACCGAAGCCCAAGATTTTACACTTGGAAACCACATTTTTAGTGCGTCTTTTTTTGAATACTTTAATTATCTGGTGCAATTTTACTTCCCATCAGATGAATTTTGGTATTTGTTTCCAAAGAATCTACAAAGCCGAAAAGAACAAAACACTGCAGCTCACTAAAATTAAGCAAAAGCAAAGGAGGAAAGAAGAGTAAACATCGTCCCTGAACCAGCACAGACCTTTGTTCGACTCATGCGAGCAAGACGATTTACGGGACTTAGATTTGTGCCGCGAGCGCCTTCTGGGAATGCAGTGCGCGCTGCAGCAGGGACTAGCAAGATCGTAAGCCTCCAGACTCGTGTTATCGAGTGGGTTGGGCTTTATACAAGGGTTACACGAGTGGTGAAGACTAAGGCGTGAACTTCGCTCTTTTTTTGAATCGTGAGGGATTTTGCCTGAAAATAAAACAACATCACAGAGGAGGGAAAAGAACAGATTAGGTGAAAATATCACATGAAATACATCAACCTGCTGCTTATATCTACTGCAAGTTTCCAAAAAAAAAGAAAGGAAGAAACTGGAAAGCTGGGAAGCTTATGCTTTTTTGGTGATGGGTGGGTCATACACTAAACATGAAGGACATTTTCACAGATGACTTTTGCTCACTCTTGCACTCAATGCGTCAGAGTTGTAACCCACGAGAAAAACAGTCAATAACTGATCTCAGTGGTTCAACCAGGTTCAACGAATAGCAGCCAACATTTGCATCTATTTAATTTTTAATCCACCACGGGAGAGGAGTCTAAATATTTCAAAGTGGTCATCATTGCTGACAGCATAAGAGGTTAAATATTGTAGCTGCATCAATAATTGCATTGTAGTCAAATACAACATAGAGCTCATAGGATAGAATTTTTTTTTGCCGTACACATATCGACAAAATATCGAAAATTGAACTTAGATCATTCCTGAAAATTTGCACATGCAGGCTCTCTAGCGTTGCTGACCCGAGACTTCAACAGCGAGGATGAAAATGATCCACTATTCTATGAGTAAGAGGTGTGAATTGATAAATTTCACAAAACTTAAAGTTATTCTTCTTTGGTGGTAAAAAAATGAAACTCCAAGGAAAAAAGCAAAGCGCGCTATTTCAAAATGGTTGATTTCAGACTTTAATACTGTTCCAAAGATGAAGCAAAAATATTTATTAAAGGTACTCAAAACTAGGGTACATTTTAAAATCTCGATTTCAAAATACCATCTTCTCTCCACTTATATGCTGAAATTCAACAAATAAAAGCAAGTGTATGCTGTCTTAATGCAAATTACATACACACAAGGTCAATAATAGAATATTGCATCTTCTATGTATATTATGAAGAAAATGAATCCTAAGTTTGAGGAATACAGATTAGGTACAAGAGATCCACTTGCGATCGATTAGGCTGAGAATTATAAAAGTACCTAGTTTTCTGTACTCTAAAATAAGATACACACAATAACGCACAAAGAAAACCCTCTCAATGTTCATTCTTACCAGTTTCAAAAAGGAGAGCAGAGGATTGTACTAGCTTTACTTTAGCTTTGCTATTACAGCTTCATATGTGATTATGGGAAAATGATTCTTAATGCAAAAAACCTTGAAATCAAATTGTCGCTACCATTGGATAGAGTAGCGTCTCACAGTAGGCCACAAAAACCACCCCAGAATATCAAACCAAAATGAAATTATAAGGTCTGGAATTGGCAAACCACAAATAGGTTTGAAAAAAAAAACCAAAAAAACACAGGTTACAGTTTTAACCAACCGCAATTGAGCCCCAAAAGTTCTAAATTAAATATAATTTGTCTTATATCAGCATAAAATTGAATGATATTGCTGGTGACTCATTCTATGAGATACTGAAGAGTGTCTGCTGTAGAGACCTTAATTTGAGACACGCCGCATCAAGAGAGGCTCACCTAAAAATTTGGCCTCTTTTCCAGTATATACTCACACTTTTTGAAAACCAGACAATTTTTTTTTGGGGGGGGGGG